TGGGAGGGATGGAAAACCTGAATGGAGAACCAGGAACAGAGAAACGGGATGGAGAACTTGGATGGAGAACCAAGAATGGAGAACCTCCATCAGGATGCTGCCTGGGAGGTGTATCCCGACAGGAAAGGCTGACTCCTGCCCTGCCTCAGTTTACCTCAGCCCATGGGAAGATGGCTTTGGGAAGCCAAATCTTTCCCAGCTTTCTCCAAAAACTCATTCTCGATTTATCCCAATGCTCCTGTGCCTTGTCCTGACCCTTCACGGGATGCTCTGGCAGTCGGGGGGCCAGTGTTGGTCCCACAGCTGCGCTCCAATCCTATAAACCCCAGAGCCCGCGGGGCCGTGACACCATCTGGGATTGGCACCGCGTGGCCGCGACCCCTCGGGAACGGGCCGCGGCTCCGAGTGGCCTCGTGCTGCGCTGGGAAAAGCACGAACCTCCCGCCCCCCTCCCAAAAAAAAAAAAATCCGGGCGGAACAACCCGCGGATCCCCCCGCGGTGGTTTGGAATCCCGGGAGTGGGAGCGCAAGAGCGGGGCGGCCGAGGGAGGCTGGGACACGGGGATGGGAGCGAGGAATGCCCCGGCTAATCCTCCCGCCCGCTGCCGCCTATTTAGGGAAGAACCAAGGCGGCCGCGCTGGGCTCCTGGCATCCCTCCCGGCCCCGCCGGCCGAGCCCCGGCCCCGCAACCCCTCCTCCCGCTGCTCGGGGCCGGCCCTCGGCAAAGCCCCCTCCGCAAAGCCGCCCCCGCCTCGGCCGGAGCCGAGCTCCGGGGCCCGGAGAGGCGAATCGCCGCTCCTCCGGCCGCCCCAGCGTGTGCCGAGGGCGCCGGGAGCCAGGGATGAGGCGCTGGGAGCCGTGATCTCAGGGAGCAGCAATGCGAGGGCGCTGCCAGCGCGGCCGCCGGCCCAGAAATGTCCTTGTCCCGGCACGGCGCTGTCCCTGGCACTGCCCGGGGGCACACACCATTGTCCCTGGCACTGCCCGGGGCACTCACCATTGTCCCCGGCACTGCCCGGGGGCACACACCGCTGTCCCTGGCACTGCCCGGGGGCACCGCCGCGGGGACACGGGACAGCGCCGAGCCCGGGGCGGCTGCGGGGCCGGACCCGCTCCCGCGGGGCTCGGGCGCGTTTTGATTAAGGAAAGAGGGGTCTGCCCCAGCCGAGCCGGCGGCCCAGAGCTCCCGCTCCCCCCTCGGCACCCCGAACTCCCCGGATTCCGTGGGTTTCTGCGGCTCTGAGCTGTCGCTGCCAGGACACGCTCCCGTCGGACCCGCAGCGCGAATTCCAAGCGGTTCTTACGCCGCCACTTGGAACTGCCGGGATCCCGCAGCGGGATGGGGCTGCGGGGGGCAGCGCCCAGCTCCGGGGGGGCTTCTCCGCCTGCTCTCCCGCTGCGGGATGACGGATGCTGGCGGAGGATGACACCATCAGCCTCTCCTCATCCCGGGCAGCAAACCTTCCCAGCTCTCCCCACCTCCTGGACCTTTTATTGGGAGCACTCGAGCCAAGGAGAGACTGAACTGGGGAACTCCTGGTTACGGAGCAGATGGATTTAATTAAAACCACTTAAGTCATTAAAGTGATTTGCCAACTAAATCAGCACAGCGAGAAACCTCCCACCAATTCCACCCCCTCCCTCTCGGGTTTGTCCTTTTAACCCTTTCCTTGGGGAAAGGTCACGGGAGCAGTGGCCGGGTTCCTGCGAGGGTGGAAGAACCCAGGGACAACCGTGTGTCCCCAGTGCCTCGGGGGGCTCCGGGACCCCGCGTGGGACCGTCCCGGCACGGCGGCTTTGCCGCGGGACATCCTGGATCCGATCCCTGAGGCGGGTCCTGCTCGTGTCCGCCCGCGGCTCTGCCTTTCCCGGGACACGAGCTCGCTGCCCGGCAGGTCCCGGCGCTCGGTCCAGCGCTGCCCTTGGTCACCCGACCCCGCAGAGCTCCTCTTTGCTGGCTCCCGGCTCCCGGCCCCTCGCAGCGCCCGAGGGAACATCCCGTCACGGCTCCGTGAACTCAGCACCCCCCAAATAGCCCGGACGGCCCCCGGCGGGAGCGCTGCGGCCCCGGCTCCGGCCCGAGGATGATCTTACAGCCCGGGAAGCTCCAAACCGCCGCTCCTGCCCATAAAAAGCAAAGGGCTTTGGGCATGGAATCATCGGGGCTGCAGGGATTGCGCCAGCGGGGGGGAAAAACGCTCCCGGGAGGCCACGCCATAGGACAGGGGAGAGAGGAAAGGGGAGAAGAAAAAGGGGAGAGGGCAGAGGGAGCAAGACAGGGGGTGGTCGGAGGCCTAAAATGTGGCTCAGTCCCGGCACCAGCCCCTCCAAGGGTCTGTAAAACACACCCAGAGCTTTGCTCCCATCATTCCACTCCTCAGCCACCTCATCCCGATGGGAAAACACGACCCAAACTGTGCCCCAGAACTGGTTATCAGGAACACAGACAGGGTGGCAATCCCTTATTTTTCCAATTGCCCCCAAATCCCAGGCCATCCCATGCCACTGGCTCTGGAGACCACCCTGGGGTGCCAGGGAACCAGGAAAGGCTGAGGAACAGACTCCAGGCACCTCCACGGCAGCAGAACCCACGCGGCTGCAAGAGGCCACATGGGGAAGTCCTTCCCATTGGGAAACCAAGCTTTGCAGGCAGGAAGAGGAACATCACCTCAAGGTCCAATGGATAAAATTGGAATTTAATTAAATTAAGGAGACATTTGCAAAGCTAGAGCATCCAAACCTGCTCCCAGTGACACGACCCGCTGCTCCCCACCCGGACACACGGAGATACCGGTCCCTCCAGTACCTCCCAGGCCGCAGCCAGGCCCGCTTATCCACAATTCCCAGGAACGAGGGGTTTCCTCTCTCCTCCCCCTCCTCTTCCCTGGCCCCCTCAGGCGGCCGTGGGGCCGGTCCGTGTGTCCGTCCGTGTGTCCGGGTGCAAGCGGATCTCCACCAGCCGGATGGCACGGAGCAGCACGGCCAGCTGGGAGCACACCCGGGCCACCACGTCCAGCACGGGATCCGCCAGGTCCCGGAGGCCCCCCAGCACCTTCAGCAGGAAGAGCAGGAGCGGCTGCAGGAGGCTGTGGAACGCCGCTGCCAGGAGGGGCTTCAGGACGTGGTCGCCAATGGCTGTCAGGACACCGACCACCAGCGCCTGGATTTGGGACGAAATCCCGGGTTTGAGGGATATTTGCCAGTGGGAGTCACCAAAAATGGGCTGAGGCACAAAAATTCCGCTATAGGAGGGGAAATTTGGGATAGCAGGAACCAGAAGTTTCTTCTCCTGATACTGAAGGGTTTTGACGTCCTCGGCCGCTGCTCTGGCCACATCCCCACGGGAATGGGGCGGCTCACCTGGACCACGGCCTCGCCGAGGAAGCGGATCAGCTCCACGAGGAAGAGGCTGAACACGCTGACCAGGCACCGCGGGATGGAGAAGAATTCCCGCAGCTTCCGCTGAACCGTCCACTCGGAGCTGCCGTGGGGAAAACGGGATGTCAGAGCCGGAGCACCACCCGCTGAGGGGATGAATCCCAAAGCGGATCCAGCACCCCAGCCGGCTCCTCGGCACCACATCCTGTTCCCACAGGCTCTCCCTGTACGGCCAAACCCAGCTGAAGTAGCCCCAAAACCAAACCCACCGGGATGGCACCCAGAGCACAGCTGGCCGGGAGCCCGGGGAGTGCCAGGCCGGCTCCAGGGAATCCCGTCCAACCCCACCCCGGGAGCGGCCCCGGCGTGGGCAGGGCTGGGGCCGGGGCTCCCTCTCACGGCCACGAGGCGAGATCCGGGAGACGCATCCCAGTTTCTGTTTCCAGAAAAACACGAGGTGAAGAGGGCGGGCTGTGCCAGGCTGGGAGGAAACCCCGTCCTCCCGCCGCCCCGTCCATCCCGCCCGCGGGAACGCGGCGGCAGCGGAGCCGGTTCGGGGGGGAAGGAGCGACCGGGGGAGCCGCGGGGCGACCCAAACCCTGAGGTTTTCCCCCGTTTTGTTCCCGTGACCCAACTCCCGGAGCTCCGGCCCAGACGTTCAAGGCCCTTCCCACCCGGGGTCCCGCTCCAGAGAAATTCCCTCCTCACAAGCCCCAAGCAGACACCGGAGCGGGATCCTCGGGGAAATATCCCCTCGGCATCCCACAGTCGGCATTTTTTGTGCCTCTCCCCGTCTGGGATCAAGCCCCGTCCTGCGGCCGGGATTCACCCGGGCTGCAGCTGCCCCTCGGGATCAACCGGGATCCCAGGAAAAGGAGGGGCCAGGGCAAGGGCAGCCGGAGCGGTGCGACGAGCCGCGGAGCAGCGATCCGGCTGGGAACCCACCGGGACACCCACTTGTGTCCCCTGGGAATACACCGGGATGCGACCCCCGACCCCCAGGAATCCACCGGGATCTGCCCCCCCCCCCCCCCGCCCCGGATCCAGCGGGACTCCCCCCGGGAGCCCCCGACACGGCCCCTCGCGGCAGCGACGGACGGGCTCGTTCCCCCCCCGGGGAGGGGGATCCCGGTACCTCCTCCGGTTCCTCCTGCCGGGGCGGGGCGGGGGCACCGGGGGGGTCCGGGGGGCACCGGGGGGCCCCGGGGTGCGGCGGGGGCCGCCCGGCGCCATGGACAGGCCACGCCCCCCGAAAGCCCCGCCCCGTCGGCACGCCCACCACCGCGGCCCCGCCCCCGGACGGGCGCGTTGCCCGGCAACGAGGGGCGGGGCCGAGCGGGGGGCGTGGGCGGCCCCGGGGGTGAGTGACGGCGAGCGCGGCCAATCACAGCCCGCAGAAAAGGTCCCCGCCCACAGCGGGGATCCCCGCGCGTCACGTGGAGCGGGGTATGCAAATGTATGCAAATCGTATGTTAATGAGGGTCTGCCCGTGCTGCGGGGGGGGGGAACAACCGGGGAGAAGAGGAGGCGGGGCCCGGGGGGGGGGGGGGGGGGGGGTCCCGGGGGGACACGGGAGGGGTTCCCGCTGCCCCCCGGGCGTGGCGGTGCCGGGGCGGTGCCGGGGCGGTCCCAGCGGGTCTCGCCCCACGCCCACGCGCGGCCCCGCGTGCGGAAGCTCCGGGCGGCGGCCCCGGGACCGGCCCCGAGCGCAGGTGAGACCCGGGGGGCGTCCGCAGGGGGGGGTCCCCGTGGGTGGGGCGGTATTGGGGGGTCCGGGAGCAGCCCCCGGGGACACGCGGGGACAGCAGCCCCGGGACACCCCCGGGACCCGTCGCGCCCGGTGCTGCCCCGTGGGGGGGACACGCGGGGGGCACCGGGAGCGGGTGGGGGGTCACGGGGGGATCTCCCCTCGCGCAGCTGCCGGAGGGACCCCACAGGGACCACGGTCTGGACTTCGCGTGTCCTCCATGTCCCCCGTGTAACCCCCGTGTCCCCCCCGGTCTCTGTGTCCCCCTGTCCCCCCCCCTCATCCCACAGATGCCAGCCTCGTGTCCTCCCTATCCCCCAGTGCCCCGTGTCACCCCCGTGTCCCTCCTCCCGTCTCCATATCCCCTGTCCCCCGTGTCCCCTCTCCCGCGTGAGTCCCGCACGTCCCTCCCTGTCCTCCTGTCCCCTGTCCCCGTGTCCTCACTGTGTCCCCCCATGTCGCTAAATGTGTTCCCCATCTCTTGTGTCCCCCATTTCCCCGTGTCCCCTGTCCCCAGTGTCCTCCCCCTGTCCCCCATGTCCCCTGTCCCCAGTGTCCCCTGTCCCCCGTCCCTCGTGTCCCCTCCCCTTCTCAGCTTCACTTTTCTTTCCCCGAAGCCGCCACAGCTTCTGCTTTCGGGGCGCGGGTGACGCCCCCCAACCCCCCTCGGGGGGGGGCCACAACCTCGGGGGGGCCTCACCTTCCCCCTCCCGGCCCTGAAAGAGGAACTGGGGAGGTCCCGGTTCCCCTTTTGGGGCCGGGAGTGGCGCCGGGGCCGTGTCACGAGGTGCCCGCGGTGTCCCCAGGCCATGGACCCCCCCCGGCGCGTTCGCCTCAAGCCCTGGCTGGTGGCCCAGGTGAGCAGCCGCCGCTTCCCGGGGCTGCGATGGCTCGACCCCGAGCAGCGGCGCTTCGTCATCCCCTGGGGACACGCCACCAGGAACCCCCCGGGGCCGCAGGACCACGACACCATCTTCAAGGTGACACCGGGGGACACGGGGTGACAATGGGGACACGGGGTGGGTGACAGTGGGGACATGGGAGGGGGACAATGGGGACGAGGAATGGTTGACAATGGGGGTATGGGATGGGTGACAATGGGGATGGGGATGGTGACAATGGGGACGGGGGATGGATGAGAATGGGGACATAGAATGGGTGACAGTGGGGTTATGGGATGGAAGTGACAGGGCTATGGGGTGACAATGGGGACATGGGATGGGGGTGATGAGGGGGGCACAGGATGGAGGTGACAAGGATGGTGGGACACAGGATGGGGGTGTGACAGTGGGATGGGGGCGATGATGGGGGCACAGGGTGGGGGTGACAAGGATGGTGGGACACGGGATGGGGGTGTGACGGTGGGATAGGGCGGCGAGGGGGACCTGGGCTGATGGGCTGGCAGGGGCACCCCGGGTGGGAGTGCCCCGTGCCGGGTGCTGACCCCGCCACCCCCCAGGCGTGGGCGCAGGAGACGGGCCGGTTCCGTGCCGGGGACCCCCCGGACCCTCCCCGCTGGAAGGCCACCCTGCGCTGCGCCCTCAACAAGAGCCGCGAGTTCCGGCTGCTCCTGGACGGGCCCCGCGCGTCCCCGGCCCAACCCTTCCGCGTGTACGAGCTCTGCGAGGGGCCCCCCGGGGGAGCAGGTACTGCTGGGGGGCTCCGGGGGAGCCTGGGGGCATCCACAAGGACCTGGCACCCCACAAACCCCCTCTGAGACCCCGGGAGGTTCCCAGCACCCAACAGGGACCTGACATCCCACACAGACCCAGCACCTCGCCAGCCCCCCCCACCCCATAAGGACACAGAAGTGCCTCCAGAGACCTGCCCCCCCACCAGGGGCCCATCACCCTGTGGAGTGTCAGCACCCCACGAGTCCCCAGCACCCCTCAATACCCCCCCCAGCACCCCCCAAATGCCCCTGCACCCCCCAACTACCCCTGCACCCCCCAACTGCCCCTCTCTCCCTGCAGATGGGGGGGACGAGGATGACTATGGCTGCAGTGGGGAGGAAGACGTCAGCCAGGTACCTGGGGGGGGGTCAGGCTTGGAGGGACCCCCCAGCTGGGGGCTCCTGGGGGGGCCGGGGAGTCCCTGTAACACCCGCTGTCCCCCACAGCTGCAGAAGATGACAGCCCTGAGCATCGATGGTGAGTGGGGGGTGTTGGGTGGCTGGGGGGTGTCAGGGGTGTCGGGGTGCACCCTCTGACCCCCCCTCTCTGCCCCAGACACCCAGCACGGGGGGGACCTGCTGCCCCCCTACCCCTGGCCCAAGGAGGAGCCCCCCCCCTTCGCCAGCTGCTGCCCCTCGGGGGGGCCCTTTGTGCCACCCCCCCCAGCCCTGCTCCAGGGGGACCCGGGGGGCACCCACGGGGCCCCTGAGCTGCCCCCACCCGCTCTCGCCGAGACGGGGCCCCCCCTGGGCCCCCCGCCCGCCTGCCCGGGGGCACCGACACAGCACCTGATGCCAGACCTGCTCGTCAGCCCCCACATGCTGCCACGTGAGCAGGGGCCGGGGCTCCCGGGCGCTGGGTGGGGTGGACACGGGTGTGGGGTGGCCGTGGGTGAGGGGTGGCCGTGGGGTGGCCGTGGGTGTGGGGTGACCATGGGTGAGGGGTGGCCATGGGGTGTGCGTGGGTGTGGGGTGACTGTGGGGTGGCCGTGGGGTGGCCGTGGGTGTGGGGTGGCCACGGGTGTGGGGTGGCCACGGGTGTGGGGTGGCCGTGGCCGTGGGGTGGCCGTGGGTGTGAGGTGGCAGGACAGGGTGTGCATGGGGGGTGTGTGGATGGGGGTGGCTGTGGGATGGAGGGACAGAGGTGGCCATGGGGTGGTGGGGGGGGTGCCTGGCTGGGGGTGTCCCTTGGGTGCTCCCCGGCCCCCCCTGACCCCGCTGCCCCTGCAGTGACTGACCTGGAGCTGAAGTTCCAGTACCGGGGCCGCCAGGTCTGTGCCCTCACGGTGAGCAACCCGCACGGCTGCCGGCTGTTCCACAGCAGCCTGGAGCCCACGCGGGAGCAGGAGGAGCTCTTCGGGCCGCTGACGCTGGAGCAGGTGCCCTTCCCTGCTCCCGATGCCATTCCCAACGAGAAGCAGCGCTTCTACACCCACCAGCTGCTGGACGTGCTGGACCGGGGGCTCATCCTGGAGCTCCAGGGCCAGGACCTCTTCGCCCTCCGGCTCTGCCAGTGCAAGGTCTTCTGGACGGGGCCCTGTGCCAGCCCCCAGCCCGGCCCCAACCCCATCCAGAGGGAGACGAGGACCAAGCTCTTCAGCCTCGAGGGCTTCCTAAACGGTCAGAGGGGAAGGGGGAGCGGTCCCATGTCCTTTGAGGGCAAAGGATGGGATGGAGGGGTCAGCTGGGGTGGTGGTGGGACAGGCAGGCGTGAGGCCCCCTCACCTCGGGCTCGGGCCCCTCAGGGCTCATCCAGTTCCAGAAGGGGCAGACCCCCATCCCGCCCCCCTTCGAGATCTTCCTGTGCTTTGGGGAGGAGTGGCCGGACCAGAAGCCCAAGGAGAAGAAGCTGATCACGGTGCAGGTGAGGGGCTGGGCCCCCCAGCTGTCCCCGGGGGGGACACGGGGGTGCCCCCGCCCTGGTGACACCGGGGGCTCCCGCAGGTGGTGCCGGTGGCGGCGCGGCTGCTGCTGGAGATGTTCTCCGGGGAGTTGTCCTGGTCGGCCGACAGCATCCCGCTGCAGATCTCCCACCCCGACCTCAAGGACAGGATGGTGGAGCAGTTCAAGGAGCTGCGCCAGCTCTGGCAGAGCCACCAGCGGCTGCCACCGGCTCAGCCCCCGCCCGGGCCCTCCGCCGCGCCCTGGGCGCTGCCACCCGGCCCCCTGCCCCACTGAGGGGACATCCAGCCCCCTGCCCCACTGAGGGGACACGGGGGGGACACCACGGCACTGCCAGCCAGGCTGACCCTTACCCTGCAGCCAGCCAGGCTGGGGGAGCCAGGCCACCCCTCCCTGTCCCCTCAGGGTGGTGCAATCAGGGCCACCCATCCCTGTCCTTATCCCTGTCCCCCCAGAGCTGCTGGTGACCAGCACCCAAGGGTGCTCTGGGGGGCCAGGGCTGTGACCACCCACCCTGGCTGGACCCTTGTACCTGGCCCCCCCTAGGATGTAATATGGGGGAGGGGGCTGCCCCCTCCCTCCCCCCCTTCCAGGGTTTTGGGGGAAAACAGCAAGAAAAGAGGGGCGGGCTGGGGCCACGTTGGATTGGAGCCCCCCAGAGCTGGGGTGACAAAGCAGCCCCAGCCCTGAGAGAAGCAGCAGAGGGGCCTCGGCAGGGTGTTAATTTATCTTTTCAGTTTTTTGTTGTTTTTTATTGTTCTCGAGATGGCTACACACCCCCGGAGGGAACCGCATGCGCCCGCCCGCCCTCGAGCCGCTGCCTCCAACCCCAAAATCAAACCAAAGAAAACCCAAAAAAAGGGAAAAAAAAAAAAAAAGAAAAAGAAAAAAACCCAAACAAGAAAACAAACTAAATAAAGCAGAACAAAATAAAATATAAATCTCTATTTGCAGAGTCCGTCCTGCCCGCGTCGTCTCCAGGAGTCGGCATCAGGCAGGGCCCGGTGGGCTCAGGGGGCAGCGCCCCAGGGCCCCCCCGACTGACCCCCATCTTCCTAAAAGAATTTGTATTGTTTGTTTTTTGTTTGTCGGTTTTTTTGTCTTTTCTTTTTTTTCCTTTTTCTCTTCTTTTTTTTTTTGTCTCCATTTCACAGAAAGTTTTTCTAGCTTCTCGTTTTGCTGCTGGGCGAATCCGCGTGGATCCGTCTGACTCCGGTTGCTGGAGGATCTGGAGTTTGGGTGTTGGGGGTTTTCCCCCTTTGGGCTGTTTCTCGCGGCGGTGCCGAGATCCGGGACGCGGATGCGCCGGGCAGGCGGGACCCCCGGGCCGTCCTCCCGCGGCCCCGGACGCGCTGGAGCGGGAGAGAGCCCTCGGCTGATTGTGGGACACATTCTTGGGTTGCTCTTTCCTGTCTTCTCCTTAAAGACATTCCTGGCAGGGGGAAGGGAGGGTCAGCCCTTCGCCCCCACTGGGCCGGGGGTGACAGAGCCTGAAGGCAGCAGGGCCCTTACCTGGGAGCCAGGAGCCCTTACCTGGGGACAGGACCCCTTACCTGGGGGCAGGAGCCCTTACCTGGGAGACAGGAGCCCTTACCTGGGAGACAGGACCCCTTACCTGGGAGACAGGAGCCCTCACCTGGGAAGCAGGAGCCCTTACCTGGGAGACAGGAGCCCTTACCTGGGAGACAGGAGCCCTTACCTGGGAAGCAGGAGCCCTTACCTGGGAGACAGGAGCCCTTACCTGGGAGCCAGGAGCCCTTACCTGGGAGACAGGAGCCGTGCGCAGCCGGAGCTATCGGAACAGGCGGGTGAAGTCCCTCAGAGCCCAGCACACTTGTTTACATTCCTCAGCACTGCCAGACAAGGGCTCACATCAGCGGGTGGCACCAGGGGGTGACACCCAGGGGGTGTTTGTGATGTGGGGAAGGTGTCCTGCCGGGGATGGGAGCTGGGAGCTCGGCTCCGAGATTTTGGGAGAGACCAAGGGACAGTTGCTGGGACAGGACAGGCTCAGCAGCCCCCGGAGGGGACCCCTGTGCCACCACGGCGGTGGTTGGAAGGAAGGAACCAGCTCCATGGGCACTCGGCCTCTGGGATTTGTCCAGGACCGAGACAGAGCCAGGCAGAGGGAGTTGATGTTCCCACACTGGCCAGAGGCTCCAGGTGGATCCGGCTCTGGCCCTGGGAATGGACAGGCCTGGGCAGGGCCCGGCAGTCGGAGCCGGTGACTCACAGGGACGAGGAGGTGGCTCGGGAAGGGCGCAGGGATCGGGCAGGCGGAAAAACCCGTTTGGCCACAGCAGAGGGGACACGGGCCCTCCTCAGCTCTGGCCACAGCAGAGGGGACACGGGCCCTCCACGGCTCCTGCCGGGCCACAGGAGCAGGGATGGCACAGCCCGGCGGGGGGGACTCCCTGGGCAGGGCTGGGGGGCTCTGGGGCTGCTGGAAGCCATTCCCTGGGAAGCAGCAGGCTCCAGGCTGTCCCAGCTGGAGACCCGGCCCCGCTCACCTGGTGACTTGCTTGTGGAAGTCGGTGAGCTGTTTGTGTGTCACTTGGATGGCTCCGCCCGTGGTTTCCTTTGGCAACCCCTTCAGTGAGTTCTCCAGCCAGCGGCAGAATGTCTGGGACAGGGACGGGGACATGGAGGAACTCGGGATGAGGAACCAAACGTGGCTCCCGGGTCCTGCCTCGAGAGAGCTCTGGGATCCCGTGTGGCCACAGGGGCAGCTCAGGGCTGCAGCCCGACCCTTTGGGGGTTCATCCCACCCCTGGGGAGTCCAGCCCGACCCTTTGGGGGTTCATCCCACCCCTCTGGAATCCAGCCCGACCCTTTGGAGGTTCATCCCACCCCTCTGGAATCCAGCCCGACCCTTTGGGGGCTCATCCCACCCCTCTGGAGTCCAGCCCGACCCTTTTGGATCCCAGCCTGTCCCTCTGGGGGCTCAGCCCAGCCCTTTGGGGGTCCATCCCATCCCCTGGGGGTCCATCCCATCCCCCGGGGGTCCATCCCACCCCTCTGGGGTCCATCCCCCTCACCGGGCGGTCGATCTGCATGATCTCCCAGAGCACCTCGGCGACGTCGGGCAGGGTGTAGGGCGGGAGGCAGAAGCAGCACGTGTGCAGGAGCTGGTTCACGAGCTGCTGCCCCAGCTGGGTCATCACCTGGTTGATGAGCTCCTTCCGCACCTCGAAGTCTTCCTCGTGCTGCGGGAGGAAGGAGGAGGGGCTGAGCAGGGCCTGGGGACGGGGACACACTCCTTGCCCTGGAGGGGACTCCCAGAGCTTCTCCACCAGCAGAGTGGCTGGGAGGACAAGGACGATGGGGCTGACGGGCCTTGGAGTAACCAGGTCTGGTGGGAGGTGTCCATGCCCATGGCAGGGGGGTGGAATGAGAGGGGCTTCAAGGTCCCTTCCCACCCAAACCACTCTGCGATTCCATGAGGACGACCCCATGGAGCAACGTCCCCATGGAGGAGGTGCCCCCTGAGCAACGTCCCCATGGAGGAGGTGCCCCCTGAGAAACGTCCCCATGGAGGAGGTGCCCCCTGAGCAATGTCCCCATGGAGGAGGTGCCCCCCGAGGAGGGTCCCCGCGGGTCACCCACGTCGTTGGCCACGCCGGTGTGGATGAGATCCCGCAGGAATTTCATGACGCTGCAGTTGGCGTCCCGGTGGTCCAGGGTGGTGGCAGCGATGGCCCACTGCAGGATGGGGATCATCACCTGGCTGCGCAGGAGGGTGACGGGGCTGCGCTGGATAAACCTGCCCGTGGGGACAGACACACGTCAGGGGCAGCTCCTGCCCCTCCCCAGCCCCTCGGGGACCCTCCCCGGGGTCGGGGGGCTGCCTGGGGCAGGGGGAGGGAGGGTACCTGGCTGCCAGGCGGAACAGGTCATCCACGGTGTCCGGGTGGTTCTGGAGCCCGTTGGGCTGCTCGAGGAGCTGGAAGGTGGGGATGCAGAGAGCCTGGGGAGGGACAGGGATCCATCAGTGATCCTGGGATCACTCCTCCAACTCCCCTTCCTTGCATGGGCTGGGGCTGCCCCTGGATCCCTGGGAGTGTCCAAGGCCAGGTTGGGCAGGGCTTGGAGCAACCTGGGCTAGTGGAAGGTGTCCCTGCCCATGGCAGAGGGTGGCACTGGATGGGCTTTAAGGTCCCCTCCCAGCCAAACCAGTATGAGGTTCTACAGATTGGACATCAGGGAAAATTCCTTCCTGGAAAGGGCTGTCCAGCCCTGGCACAGCTGCCCAGGGCAGGGGGGGAGTCCCATCCCTGGAGGGATTTAAAAGCTGCGTGGATGTGGCACTCGGGGACACGGGTCAGGGGTGGCCTTGGCAGTGCTGGGGGAGGGTTGGACTGGGTGGGCTCCAAGGCCTTTTCCAGCCTCTGTGATTCCATGACTCGGCCGGGGGGGCCCCACCTGCAGCATGTCGAGCAGGCCCTGCCTGCAGCCCTCCTCCATGCCGTACTCATCCACCAGGATGCTGCCCAGGTAGAGGAAACAGGAGTGCTGGTGTTCCCGGTACACGCTCACCATCTGGGGAGACAGGAGCCCTGGCACAGTCACCCCCTGATCCACCCCTTGATCCCACATCCCCCCGAGCCCAGCCTGAGCCTGTGTCCCAGCCTGTCCCAGCCTGTCCCAGAGCGGGCAGGGACATCCCAAAGGCCATCCCAAAGGCCATCCCAAAGGACTGGCTCGGATCTAGCCTCACACCTGGGGGCATCTCCGTGCTGTGGCTCCCAGAGCCAGCACGGGAGCAGGAGCCTGGAGCGGAGCAGGGAACACCCAGCACCGGCATTCCCGGATTCCGCCATCAGGCTCAGTTACCTCTCCAAGGAGCAGGTTTCACACACCCCTCCCAAATCACAGACACACCCACGGGGCTCCCACAACCATCCCCTGGCTCTTCCCTGCGCTCCAAAGCCTCCCTGCTCCTCGAGGGTTCATGCTGGAATTCCTGAGACTGCTGGGATTTACTGCAGCGCCTCCCAGAGCCATCAGCCACCCCTGTGACATGTCTGCAGGCCACATGACCTGCGTGACACCCCGGGGCCCCCAGCCCCCCCCCCGTCCGCCGGGGCCCCCCCGGCCCCCCCCCCCCCCGCCCCCCCCGTGTCAGCAGTGTCCCCATGCCCCCCGTGTCAGCAGTGTCCCCAGTCCCCCATGTCAGCAGTGTC